ATCATCCACCGATAGTAATATCGCTCGATTAGCCATTTTTTCCAGGTATATTCTACAGCCATTTGGATTTTGTAAATCATAAATGATCGCATTCTAAAATAAAAATTTAATTTTGCAAAGATTTCTTGCACAACCATTACGGAAAGATAATGCTTGTTCAATTCAAATCAGAATTTTTAGATTTTTTGCATTTATATTTTTTAAAAGTGCAATAAGTCTCATTCAAAATGCTCGTTTTTTTTCGGAAGGCAAAAGACTGCTAGCTAAAATTATTTTTAATCAGAGCTAAAAAATTCTATTCTAAGACTTTTTTCTAATAACCCTTCTTAGCTTTTTCCATTTTTTTCTTGATTTTATTTTTTGAAATCAGTCATTCTTTTCACCTACTGCTAGTAATAATTAAAAATGATAAATGAAAATTGAGAAATAAAAGCCAACCGGATCATTTTTGAATTTTAAAATTGATAATATATTGTTGTCGCCAAGATCAAAATTAGTTTTTATGCTTTCATGAAATTGATCGACTAATTTTGACCTAACGCTTGAGGTAGTTTCAGTGAAGCTTTCTTCTTCACTTTCCGATCGTTTACCACTATCTGTTACAGAAGTTGTACTAAAATTGATCAGTAATTAAAAATATAAATTATTTAATTGATTAATTCGTACTTCTAAATTTATATATCTTCTATGAAAGAAGTTTGGTTTAATTCCAGACTTATATTTCTCCTACAAATATGTGATATCACTGATATTAGCTTATTTATAATATTTTTATTGAGTAAATGATGATTAAGAAGAATTGCTATATTAATCAGTTTGTATTCCTATTTTATTTTATTTTCGTATTAATTCAATCCTTCTTTTTATTGGGAATAAAATTTAGCAAACTTACCCGATTGATTGATAACTTTTATTCTGAAAAAAAAAAAAAGGGAAATGTTTCACATTTTTAGCGACACATTATTTCATTACAAGATTTTATTGATACTGATAACTGTAATGAAATTAGATAAGTAATTCCGCTTAGCGCAAATTTACTAAAGCGTCAGTAATATATTTTATTCATTTTTATCTTTTATCATAACGAATTAAATTTCTTCCAGTCTAGTTATTACGAAAATTTTAATTTTAATATAGCATTTCAATCGATTTTATTTGAATCCTTCAACTTAAAACGATATCAATCTTCAATTATCGAAATTCTGGTTTTTTTCTCTCCCTTTTTATCGCTGAGATTATATTTAATCATTAAATTGATCTTCTCAATGGTTTTTGAGAATGTAAGCTGAGAAGATTTATATTTATATCGATGCATACCAATGATTCGGAATTATCTTCCCGTTCAGCGGAAACATTCTCGAAATTCTTTGATTTACTAAAAAATACTGAATTCATATTGCGCATCATATTGCGACAATTTTTGAGAAAATTAATTGATAATTATTGAAAGTTTTGTGCATATATAATGTTGGAAATTTGACGGAATTGAAATAATAATACATTTTAGTTTTAAACTAATTTATAATTATTATTTTTTTCGAAGTCTTTTTTCTTCCAAGAATTATTTTTCTTTCATATCAATCATTTTAATTTTCTTTCAGCTAAAATCCCACAATCAATAATTTTAAACTTTTTTGAGCATTTTAATCAGATGTATCATAACAGGAATACAAAATAACTCTGATTACTTGCAAGATTTCATAGATGTTGATGACTCGAAGCTAAAAAGATAGACAAAAAGTGTCACATTGAATTGAGAGATTATTCTTGAAGCTTTATCCGGAACAATCATCCAGTAAAGGATACATAATAGGATATATCTTCTCTAATGTTTGAACGAAATAATTAGCAAAATAGATTTGATAAAAGATATAAACTTTAATTTAAATTTAGTTTTTTTTTGGATCAGATTTAGCATAATCTTATTTAACTGCTTAATTTTTTAAGATCTAAATTAACTAATGATTTAAAATGAAAAGCAAAAGTATGCTTTCACTAAATTCCTGATACGGAAATTATGAGAAATGGGCGGTTATGTCATTCAATTTGAGAAAAACATGTATTTTAAAAATAAGGATAAAAACCGTGCTCAAATGGTGAATCGAAGAATAATTAAGACCATAAATCAAATAAGCTAATATTGGCCTAATAAATATTGGCCAGATCGAAAAAAATTATTGATTGATAGAGTGGAAGAAAGGTAAGTCAATAACATTTCATACCTTTTCTTCTTTTCAATCAGTTCTTTACCTTCCTGTTTAGTTTGATTTTTCTCCTATAAAACAATCAAAAAAAAGTTATTGATTGATAGAATGAGGTAAAGTTAAATTATTCAACTATTAGCTTTAATTTAAATTCAATTAAAATATAGAAAAATATTCGAACTTTTCGAGTCTCTTCCAATTTTTCCTTCATTTCATTCTTCTCTTTTCTTTTATCATTTTGAATTTGTTGCTTCGTTCCTCTGTATTTTATTTTTTTGTCAGCAATCTGTTTAGCGTAATCTTTTTCGGCACTTTCAAAATTTTCCGATCTAATCGATTCGTCGGAAGATTTCACATTACTACTCTAAACATATAAATTTTGTCTCATATTTTTTTTGCCCCATAACTTTCAGCAAAAAAAAATATTAAATTTAAATGTAGTCGAAATTAAGAAGACGGTAGTATTTGAATTAAGAAAAAAAAGAGGAACAATTAACTTGAATTGTTTGGAATTTTAAGAAAATTCTATTGAATTTTTAAAGATATTTTCATAAATTTTAATGTTAATAATAGGAGTTAAACGGAATTTAATATTTCATTTATTATTGAATTTTACTTTTGATTTGAAACAGAGAAAATACCAAATCGAGTGAACATGAAGAAATGCTTGGTGATTCAGAAAGTTGCACCGGTTTTTGATATCTTTGATAATTTCTCAATTTTTCACCTAATTTTTTGAAAAAAGCTGCCGTTACTTTCCTGCAAGATTTAATAGGAAATATACAATAAATATTTGGTGGTAATAAATAAATCAAATGTTGGAAAAATGATTGTTTTTTCTGCCTTTTCATATGTTGTATTTAACACAACAATAAATTAACGAGAACACGTAAAACACGTACGTTTTACCCATTCGATCCTCTGCAGTTTCGTAACTGGTCATTGTAATTTTTCACTTTGTTCTTTTTCAACTTTAATTGGTCTTTGTAAAATATGCAATTGGCAATAACCGTTTATGACTAACTATTCTCGTTTCAGCATGTATTTATTTGCTGGGAAAAAGATGATTTCGTATGAAATTAGATTGAATATGTAAATTTTTCTCGTTAAAAATAATTTGAAAAAATATTTTATAAAAATATAAACATTGGAAATGATTTATTCATTACTTCCTAATGAATGACCAATTTTTTATTTTTTAGTGTCAGGTAGCACTTTCTGAGAGTTAATGCCAATATGCAAAATCGCTGGACCGGATCCGGAATTGTATGCTTGATCATCTTAAAATATTTCTAGTCCAAGCTAAGAAACAAATGTAAACTCCAATCACATTAAGCATAAGCCAATAAAAATGTTAGTGACATTTGCGCCAATTACTTTATCCACATTTATTTATTTGGATTTATTGGATTTATTAAAAATGAAATTTATTTGGATTTATTGGAAATGTATAACTGAAGAATGGAACATCGAAATTGTACAATTATATAAACAGGAATAAATCATGATCAAGTTTAAAATTCAAGTTGTAATAATAACATTTTATTTAATTGCTATATTACAAATCACTCAGAAATCTTTAGGTATATCCATTCATAGTTTGATAAAAACACCTCATTTAAATTTTGAATTTTAATCTATTTAAAATAAACAAGCAGTCAAATTCATTGTTTATTTTTGAAAATAGAAAAAAAACATTTGATTGATTTATTAGAGTATTGATTGAATAAAATTTTGCTAATTTAATTCTTTTTAATCTATTTCATGCCTAAAATTGTTTTTTTTCTTTCGAGCAGTTTTATTGAGCAAATGTCGATTACGTTTGAATTTCTTATATCGAATACGAACGAGATCAGATTGTGATGATGGATAGTGATGTTCATCTGATGATAGTGATTCTCCTTCATTTGGTGCATATATTTCTGGCTCCTTAAAACCATACGGTTTTCCTGGTGGCTTAACCGTTTCACTGTAAGCATATGGTGTACGTTGAGGACAAGGGCAATATCCAGCATCATTACCTGGTGTTCCTCGCTCACCGGGCTAAAAATATCATATAATTATTTGTAATGGAAAATCATATAACATATATTGATAACATTTGATAAATCATTTTTATCATTTTTTTTGTAACCAAATCGTTTCTCCAAGATTTATTATTATTTGTGCATAATAGCATATGGAAATGTCCTAGCTGTTGTTCTGTTTTTCAATTTAGAAAAAAAAAAGCTAATTATTAAAGCTATGAATTGAATGAAATAATCACAAACCTCTCCTTGTGGTCCATCTTCTCCTGGATATCCTGGCAGACCGGGAGGCCCCTGCTCTCCTGCTGGACCTTCATCTCCTCTCGGTCCTGATTCACCTTTCTCTCCTTCCAAACCTACTGGACCTTCAGGTCCAGGTGGTCCTTTTGGTCCTGGTTTGCCGTACATTACCAATTTTGGCTCACCCGCTGGTCCAGGTGGTCCCATTAGTCCAGGTGGACCTGAATATTTTGACTATTTTACTTCTCAAATGAATATATATATACATGTTTAAAGTTTGTGTGAAACTTACCAGGTGGACCTTGTTCACCCATTAAACCTTGCTTTCCAGGCATGCCAGAATTTCCGTTAGTACCTGGTTTACCAGGTACTCCTGGTAATCCTTCTGCACCAATCGGTCCTGGTTTTCCAGGTGGCCCCATCGGTCCTGCGGGACATTCAATGCACGCGTCATATTCACTCATCTCCGATTTATACAGAAGAGCCGCACCATTTAATCCCGGTCTACCCGGTAAACCCGGTTCTCCATCAACTATTAATATGAAAAATCATTATTTCTATTTTTTATTGACTTGAATTTCTTAATTTTTCTTACTTTTCAATTTTATATTTCTGTATACTTCAAATTTAATTAACAACAATAACAATTAAATTATAAAATTCCTCGCAATATAGCATTAATTATTGATCAAGAAATAAACTTACCTCCTGGAAAGCCAGGTATGCCGGATGGTCCTCGTGGACCAGGTGGACAAGTATTTGGCTGCGGTGCACATGCTGTAAGAAAAGTTTGCCATCTGAGAAACACCTTATCATTTATACTTCTAAAGCTAATAGAAATAAAATTTGAAACTTCCAATTAAATTCAAAACCTGCAATTTTCTTACCACATTGTGGTTTTAAACCATCATCATAATACGCTTGTCGATAAAATCGTCTTGATCTTAATAGTGATAAATTCAATTCTGTGCTACTATCTATATATCGTCGATTCTTTATCATATGATACTTCATCATTTCCGACCACGCATCATTCGCTATCATCTAAAATGTACCCAAATTATTATTTCTAAGCTAATAAAGTGTTCATTGGAAAAATAAATCAATTATAAATGATTTAATAAATTGCTAAAATTTCCTATTACTAAAGAAAAAGCAAAAAATTTTGAAAAAAAATTTTATTTTTTTTAAAGGAACTCTTTTTTATTTGTTGTAGAATTGACTATCGTAGTTATAAAAAAAAGTAGAGAGGAATAATTCAACACACAATATTTGGCGAATCATTGGAGAATATTGATATTTTATAAAATACACTCAGTGTTTATCAAAATAATTAATTACATTCATTTGAAATATGTATATTAAAAAAAAAAAACAAAATTATCTGTCAAATAATGTTACTAACTTTTTTAAATTAAATTTTCTATTACCTTAAATTCATCCATGCCATCGAGTATTTCATGATATAAATCATTAATATCCTTAAATAGTATTACACAAGTTACCAACGATCCGATGATCGTTACAAGACTACCAACTGATACAGCAAAAACCCAAAAATATATCGTTTTCATCATGCTGAAATCATTTTCTTTTTAAATTCCTACTGAAATTTAGTAGAAATTTTTTTTTGAATAACAGAAATGTTTTATCTTATTTGTTTTATTTATTTTTGCAAATATGACAAATAAAGGAAGTCAACATTTTAATTGATTAAAAATTTCAAGAATAAGATAAAGAAATAAATATTGAGTGATTTCAAATCAAACATGACATTTATAAAATTTGGAATTCAGAAAATGCGGCAGAAATATTGAGATATGTATTATATTTATTAGAATTGTTAAGTCATATGATCGGATATTGAGAATTGTTCGTTATCTTGAGATTACTATACGTCGAGAATGATTCTATTTATTTATTTAATAGTACTTTCGAGAATCAAACTAGAGTGCAAATAAATCACAAAAATATCTTTCGATATTATTATTTCACTTTCTCATCAATTTACAAATGTTATTGTCCAATCGATTCTTTACCTTCAAATACCATTAATCTTTAATTTTAATAGTTCCAAGTAAATTTTAAAAATGACCTCGAAATTTAAGTGAACAACCATTAATCATTTTATCCCGTAACAACGTTTGAGTAATCAATTCTGAACAATATAATTAGTGAAAATAAGATTACCTAAAAACTATTTGATCTCTTTTACTGATCATAAATTGCGTAACTTCACTCATTGAATTTATAAATGATTTACATCAAATACTCTTATTCCTGCTTGTAATACTAGTATAATAAAATTTAATATCATTTTTTAACATTTACTCTTTTCAATTTTAATTTCAATTTTTAGGAGGATAATTTAGAGAGAAATCAAATGATATTAAAGATTCGTCGTATTTAAATTCTTTTGATTCAATTCAATACGACTATTCGACTCAATCATGGGGCTCAAAAAAGAGCAATTGGAAGAATTAAATGCATCCGTGCTTGCCATAATTTACGGAGGTCAATAGTGTGAAAAATTTTTTGGCCAAAATGAAAGTTTTCGTATTTATCATTGCATTATTCTTTCTGTTCTAATTATATAATCCTAATTGATATGCGAATTTTATATTTAAATTTCTCAGTTCCAATTCACTGAAAAGTGAAACATTCCAAATAAAATGTTTTAACAAACATCAAAGAAAGCCACATATCTTTTCAATGTTAGCCTTCGATTCTAACTCAAACATTACAGTAAGAAGCCAACATTTCCTCTCTCTCTCCCTCTCTCCCTCTATACATTTGAATGAATGATCTCTTCTAAACCTATCATTTTATGATGAAAGAAAACCGCGAAATTTTTCTGAAAATTTTATGCAAGAATTTTTTTGCCAATATTTGATCAATATTAAGAAGTTAATTTTAGGTAAATTTCTTTGGACATAATCAAATAAACTAGCAAATTATTCTCCCCGGCTAAATACCGATTTACCGGAGTAAGGATGCGGTTCTGGAAATAATTAATGAATGAGTGTACAATAATGGAGTACATTAGAAAGATGATGAACTAGAATAATTAATCAATTCGTCATAATACAATTAGCTATCGATATCGTTATCTTATTTGATTATGAGAATGATCATTGCCAAGATCATCATCAATTGACCATATTCAAATATTTAAGTTTAATTGAAATTATAAAATATGAAATTGCTGTATTTTGTAAAAGTTTTGAGAAGAAAGCAAAAACAGAAAGAAGAAATGAAACAGAAAATATTAAGAAAAAAAGCAAAAAAAAGAAATAAAATGCAAAAACTTTTTAAAAAATCAGAAATTTTTTCGAACCACTCTAATATCAGATTAAAGTTATCTATCTTTTTATTTTAAACGACATTTCTGATCTCTCTATCATAGAATATTTTAGTAAAAAAAAGGAGAGAAAGGGAAAGGGAAAAAGAGAGAAAAAAAGAAAAACTCTTTTGTTGGATGAATAGGATACATATTAAAATGGGATGTGTGGAATTGAAAATTTTTCAATAATAAACTAATTTTTAATTCTCATTTGCATGACCGCTTTCCCGCTTGCAAACAATAATTCCACTCTGTCAAAAATCATAAACAAATTTAATTTTCATAATTTTACATGACGAAATTAACAAAGAAAAGAAAGATTTTATGATAAAATCATTGAGCAACGAAGTTTAACAGATGATGAAAAGAGTTTTGAAGCTGAAAAAGATTAATGATTAATGATTATTAAGTTGATGATAATTAATCGGTTATAATTTTTCATACAATCAAGCATAAATATCTCCTTCTTCAATACGTTTCAACAACAATCTGTTCTATTCTATATATTCCAGTTTCCCTTCTTCTCATTCAAATAAATTCATTTTGTAAAATATACGAAGCTATTTGCACCATAAATACATTTCAATACTTTTTAAGGTATATTATTTTTTTCTTTCAAATAGAATATAATAAATTCAGAAAAATTCTATCAATATAAAAAAACTCATTTATATCATTTTCGATTAATTCAATTTCATACATCAATCAATTTATGAAATTTTAAGTGAGATAAGAGATTCTAAATATCGGATTCTGAATGTAAGAAGGAAGGAAAGAAGCAAATAAGATTGTTTGCATGAGCGTTTCATTATTGATTATGTTTTATTACAGTTTAGGAAACGTGAGCTAACAGAATATGGTATGATATGATATATTTTCAAAATTTTAAAAAAATTTGAAAAGATCGTATTTTCAAAATCGGTTCTTAGTGATTCACATTAAACTGAAATTGTTTTGTCCCAATTTTTTTTTTTGAATCGTTTAGTGATGATAATTTCAACGATTTCATTTAAAAAATTATAAATTGAAATTTGAAATTAAATCTCTACTAACAAATTCAAATATTTCTTCATATTTTTTTAAAAAAAAATTTCATATAACTATTAATTTATCAAACTAAGGTAAGAACAAAAGATAACAAACTGTTAAATGAATCTGGTTTTCATGAAACTTTACGATTACAAACTTGATTTCTGATAAGTAGCAATAATCAAATATAAATCTAGCAATTCCGTCCTCTTCAACATTACCATTTAAGGCATTACGATGAATTAACATGCAGCATTTATTAAACCGAAAGATGCGAATAGATTATGAAATGGGCATTGATTATAAACACGCAAATTAATTACTTAAAATCATAAAATTGAAATATTATTTTTTCCGTCGTTTTTTTATAAGTTGAAAATTTATATTAATCTTTTGTATTTCATTATATTTTAAAAAAGTTTACGCATTTGCTTTTTAAACTTTTTATTTGCATATTAAATTAAACAATGAATGAAGTAAACGTAAACTTATTTAGCTTACCGATAATTATCGAGCAATCCATAACAGGTAAAATGATCTTCGCAAGGATATATTATTAATTAAGATATTTTAACTGTCCACTTGTATTTTCCGGAAAATTTTTCTTGCTATTGGAATAATCAGTAATTGCTATTACTGTAATACAGTACAATATATCGTCTAATTATGTTAGGACTTTTCTCATAAATATTATATTTTTTGCAGTAAATATAAGGTTTTTAACTGTAATTACTCAATTAAATTTAACTTAATTGTTTGAGGTTTAAAAATAAATAAAGTTTGTTATTCGTAGTGAACAATAAGAAAGGTGGAAGTGGAAAGAGGAAAGAAAAAAGAATTAACGATCACTCCCACTTATATAATCAAAATCTCTTTAGAAATTTTACAGAATCTTTTTTACCTCTGATTTTCTACCAATATTTGATAGTAAACAAATATAGTTGTTTACATATTTTCACTGAATTTTAATCCTATTTTCCATCTTTAAAATTCATTAAAATTTGAGCAACAACAATTTTACTCCATGAAAATTAATTCATTAATCAATGAAGTAACATAGCACTTTTTTAGATATGTAAATTTCACCAATTGGATCATCAATGCTCGATATGATATGATAAGTGATCATTGAGCTATTTGATAATGACAAAAAAATATCGATGACTTAATGATAGTTACTTAAATTCATAATCATGACATGATTTATATCATTTAAAGTAATGGTAAAGCAACAAAGCAAGGCTATTTTGACGTGTTATACGATGTGTAATATGAATTCAGTAATTATGCAAAAAACTATTACTTTCATTTCAACTTGTCCCTAATATCTTGCGCTAAACAGTTAACGAAGAGAATGAGAAGAGAGTTTTAATTTAACAGTATTTATATTTGTAAAAAATATACACTTACATTTTGATATATAGAATTTGTCAATTATGAATATCGCAATGTAAGTATGAGATAAAGCGAGATAAAAAGGGAAATCAATCGCTACGAAAAAATCATGCTTAAGCGATAATTCAGGAAATTTCCAGGCAAAAACTAGAAGTATTATCTTCAAATCCATATGATTACAATTTATGCAAAAATTAAACCTTGAATTCAAATTTTTCATTCTAACTTTTTTCCTGCAACTTTTGAATCATATGAAATTTAACAGGTATGATTTTCAAAAAATGAAAAACATTTGCGTAAAATTTTATAAAATTTTTGAAAATCAAATTCAGAAGTTATTTTTACTCAAACCTTTAATAGTGATAGGTTATATGTTCGTATGATCAAAGCTTGAAAATGTCGATATCATTTGTCGAAAAGTTATTACTCGCATTTGCTGCACTAAATCTGACAATTATTGTGTTACTATACAGGTATATAATTTAACTCTACTTTATTTTGAAAAAAATGGTAATAATTTTATTAATTTGGTAAGAAAAACTTTAATTTCAAATTTTTATGATTAAAGAAATAAATAATGAATCACTGGGATGAAAGAATTTGAGAAAATAATTAGCAATAGGAAAGAAAATACAACTTTATTATGTAGCAAATTGATTTCTGAATATTGAAAAAACTTTTCAAATTTTTGCTTCTTCAAAATACCAATAAACCGAACTGAAAATAAATACTTTTATCAACTTTTCAATCATACCAAACATTTTTTTGCAAATTATTTACAAACTTTTATTACTTAAAATTATCAGATTTAAAAAGCACATTAATTGCATCTGAATACGATACAATTTCAGCTAAATTTTTTTAAAAATAAAACTGAAATTGCATCGTATTCAGATGTAATTAATCTGTTTTTTAAATGCAATAATTTTAAAAGATGTAAAAAAAATTTTGATTGCAAAGAACAACAATAAATGTCATACTTATTTCTAAATTCATGCTTTCCAAAAAAAAAAAAACTTTATTTTTTATACAATTAGTTCAATTCATAATTTTTAACCTATTAGAAATATTAATTTGTCTTTAATCATTTATTTGAAAGTTTAGATATGCTACAACCGATACACCAATAACGCTTATCATTCAGCTAATGATACCATTAATCATTTGGCAAATAATACTTGCCATATCGTTTTTTCCCGATGAATTTATCGCTCAATTCTTGAATGATTTTTATGGACATAATGATATCGCAGCTGGTGACCAATTATCAAATGAACCACCATTGTCAAATTTCATTGAAAGCATTCATTCACATGGTGATGTGCCACAATCACCTAATTTTTTTATATTGGACGAACAGATGTCATTCAGTATTCTATTCTAATACTCTCATTCCGTCTTTTTTTTTCTTCTTCCTTTTAACATTTAATTCATTACTAGAATTAAAATTAAACTACATTTGCAGTTAATTTGAATAGACATACTAACTTTAATAATATGAACTCATTTCTCTTTCAAAATTTTCCGATTTCAAATAATTCAACGATGTATTCCATTACAATTACTCACTGGAAGAGGACGAACGAATAATGTTAAAGTTTTCAAGAAAAATGAGATATATGAAAAATACAATATAGGAGATCAAA